ACATTGGAGTGTCTTTGTTGTTAAATTTGGTGCTATATAAAAGCTCTAAGAAAGTGTGTTTTTTTTTCATTCTCTGCTGTTTCATTTAGTAACTTGAGTATTTCTGTACCAGGCAGAGTAGTTAGTTAATTTGTAATGTAGATGGTCATGAGTATGGTTAGTCTTGAGGTTGGCAAGGTAATTTAATACTGTTGATAGTAGGGAGTCTCCAAGGGAATTAAGTCTGAACTGAGCCCTTTATGGTGCTTGCAAAGAGTTATTAGCTGGATTTGGACTCTGGAAGATTTCATGTCAGAATTTTGAAATGTATGTCCTATATGGGGGTAACCAGACCCCTTCCATTCACAAAATTAAAAACTTACTGATTTTGTCTATGTCTGAAACAAAGCAAGAAAATCCTAAGCCTACACAAGAGCATGTCCTTGTCTTTTATTGGTTAAGTTGTGCTTCCAGTGCCAGCGTTTCAGCTTTTGATCTTATTTGTGTTAATCCATAGCTGCCTTAATCTCCAGAAACAGAGTATGGCAATAGATACTCTTCCTTTCAGAGTGAGGAATTTGGGGATTGAGTGCACCCTCAGTAAGTTTGCAGACGACACCAAGTTGGGCGGGAGTGTTGATCTGCTCGAGGGTAGGAAGGCTCTGCAGAGGGACCTGGACAGGCTGGATCGATGGGCCCAGGCCAACTGTATGAGGTTCAACAAGACCAAGTGCCGGGTCCTGCACTTCGGCCACAACAACCCCATGCAGCGCTACAGGCTTGGGGAAGAGTGGCTGGAAAGCTGCCCAGCAGAGAAGGACCTGGGGGTGTTGGTCGACAGCCGGCTGAACATGAGCCGGCAGTGTGCCCAGGCGGCCAAGAAGGCAAATGGCATCCTGGCCTGTATCAGAAATAGCGTGGCCAGCAGGAGTAGGGAAGTGATCGTGCCCCTGTACTCGGCCCTAGTGAGGCCGCACCTCGAATACTGTGTTCAGTTTTGGGCCCCTCACTACAAGAAGGACATTGAGGTGCTGGAGCGTGTCCAGAGAAGGGCAACGAGGCTGGTGAGGGGTCTGGAGAACAAGTCTTCTGAGGAGCGGCTGAGGGAACTGGGGCTGTTTAGCCTGGAGAAAAGGAGGCTGAGGGGAGACCTCATTGCTCTCTACAACTCCCTGAAAGGAGGTTGTAGCGAGGTGGGTGTTGGTCTTTTCTCCGAAGTAACAAGCGATAGGACGAGAGGAAATGGCCTCAAGTTGCGGCAGGGGAGGTTTAGATTGGATGTAAGGAAAAATGTCTTTACTGAAAGAGTGGTGAAACATTGGAAGAGGCTGCCCAGGGAAGTGGTGGAGTCCCCATCCCTGGAGGTATTTAAAAGACGTGTAGATGAGGCGCTTAGGGACATGGTTTAGTGGGCATGGTGGTGTTGGGTTGACGGTTGGACTCGATGATCTTAGAGGTCTCTTCCAACCTCAATGATTCTATGATTCTATGATTCTATGAATTTTGTTACTTTTTGTCATTGCTTAATAGCAGCATCTTTTAAGCAGGTGAAGGTTGTGCAGTATGAGAGAACTCTTCTGAAGTAGTTCATTGATCTCAGCAGAACATTCTGTAAGGGTTCAGGAATTTCAGCCAGCTGATACTAGGGAGCCGTGTGCTAATAGTGAGAAGCTTGTCTAAATAAATGAAGAAACAGAATTACTGATAAGGAACTTACCTTTCTTTGAGCTAGCAACCAGGTTCAGAGGCAAATGCTGTTTGCCACAGGAAGACATGGCTTTATAGCCCACAGTAATATATTTTAAGGGCTGATACAAATAATTCTAGTAGCAGGGATCCCGAATACGGCTGTCCTGTTAGGCAGGATTTAGTTCACAGTAAGAGCGCCTCTCAAGCATTTAATTTCTCACCTTGTAGATTTTTTTTCATTTAAGCTATTTGTGCTGAGAGCTAGTTTTAAGTTGTTTCTGTCTAAAAATTTTGAACTGTAATTTTGAAAATGTGTATATGTTATTTCAAAACAACTCTTTGTCATCAGTTGCAGTCTTGTAAAAATTAGTATTTTTCATACAAAATTTTTTTATAAAGAAGTTTGGGGTTTTTTTCCAAATAAAAATTTTGTATTTTGAGATTACAGGAGGAACCAGGTGAAGAACAGAAAAATGTAGTTTACTTTGATAACTGCAAAATTGCTTTTGGCTTTGAAAGTGAGTTAAGTTGTGCTAGGACTTAATTCCCTCTCTATTTTAGCACATTTATATGCTTACATATAATAACATAACATGTTTATAATCTTTTTGGAAGTTCTCTCATGGTAGTAAGCTGAGTGCAGCATCTTGCACAAAAACTTTTCACCTTCTGTTTTGATAGCAACTTTTTAGGTGTGACTGTAGTAAAAAATTGTATAGGTGTGACTGATGGAGGGTATGCTGTATAATTTTTTTTGTTTACATAGCATAAGGTGTGGCTATAATGGGCACCCAAAGCTACATATGTCAGATAGTACTGCCTTAATAAAGTAGATATATAGTATTTCTTCTCCATTCATTTTTTTGGTGGAATTTGCTACTATACTATCAATACAAAAGACTGTTTTCAGAGGAAACAAGAATGGTACAATAGAATAGACAAGGACTTGCTTAGAATAAGTGATTGAGAAATAGGTTAGATGTCCTGCATTCACGATTTACAAATGATCTAGCCAAAATGTAGTACAGGCAGATAGTAAGGGGATGCTTTGACCTAACAGAAGTGCTAATAATTTGAGAAACACATGAGATGAAAGGCAGAAGATAGAAAGTAAGTGTGTGCATCTTTGATAAGAAACAGCAAGGTAACTCAAGCTATTTTCAGAATATGGGATGCTCTGTGTACAGCAGCCGATATGGAGTAAACAGACCGCTCTCCCTATTCGGAAATTAAATGTGAAAGTAGCAAAATGAGGGGAAACAAATCTTCAGGGAAAAATCACAGAATAATTGTCCTGTATGTCCTCAAGGAAGTACTGGCATCACAAACTTTGGAATTTTTTAGTGGAAATAAGACAATTTCACTGCTTAGTGCCCTCATACATAACAGATCTGCTTAAGCAGTATACTGAGAGATTAGTAAAGGAAATGGTTCACTTTAACAAATTATGAAGGGATTTAAAAGTAAATTGAGGGAGATTTTAGTAGTAGCATTTCCTTTAAATCTCTAAAGTTCCAGTGAAAGTGAAAGCACTGAAAAAACAACAGTGGGGAAGCCATAGCAAAAACGATTTCAGTTAAATCAAACCAACTAAAATGGTAATCTTGATGGAGAAGCAAGTCAGTCTGACCAGAGTAATAAACTTTTTTTTTAATGTGTGAAGTGTCTGTGGTAAAATGATGCTTATTAAAAAGGTCAGAAGCAGTTTAATTAACAATGTAACAAGTCAGTGAAATTTTCTCTAATAGATTTGTGCAGCTCACTGTCCCTTTGCATAATAGCATGCCTGTATGAAGATGTATGAACTTCGTAGGCATTTCTAGCAGTCCTGACTATAACACAGAGTAACTAAACCCAGAAGGATGAGCAAAGCAAAAGTATATCACAGCAAGACTAATAACGAATTAATTGAGACCTTTGTTTCTCTGAACAAGAACAGAAGAGGGGTAGGAAGGTGAAATAGCTAGCATGTTGCCTCTTATTACATGAAATTTCAAACCTAAAAGAGGTACGTCACAAGTAGACTGACATATACTTTGCTGTATTTTTATGCTCTGTTAACTCTGAGTACAGAATTTAAATGCATAGTTGAGGAATAATCCATTAACAAAGCTTTCCAGAAACATTTAATTTAAACACTTAACCCTTTTTCCAAATTAGTTGATTTCTTCTAAAAGAAAAAAAAGCAGAATAGATTTTGTTTTGAAATTTATACTGGACCTAAAAGTTAGGCTTATAGTCTTATTCAAGGACAGGGATTTGACTTTTGGATCTATTGTATATCAAGAAGATGAAGAGGAGTTGTCCTAATGTGTTCCTAGAATTGGCAAAATTGGAGTGACATATTTTGATTTATGCAGAGGACTTTAAAGCACCTTGCTGAAAATCTTAGAATCATAGAATCATTGAGGTTGGAAAAGACCTCTAAGATCATCGAGTCCAACCGTCAACCCAACACCACCATGCCCACTAAACCATGTCCCTAAGCACCTCATCTACTCGTCTTTTAAATACCTCCAGGGATGGGGACTCCACCACTCCCCTGGGCAGCCTGTTCCAATGTTTCACCACTCTTTCAGTAAAGAAATTTTTCCTTCCATCCAATCTAAACCTCCCCTGGTGCAACTTGAGGGCATTTCCTCTCGTCCTATCACTTGTTACTTCGGAGAAAAGACCGACCCCCACCTCGCTACATCCTCCTTTCAGGTAGTTGTAGAGAGCGATGAGGTCTCCCCTCAGCCTCCTTTTCTCCAGGCTAAACAACCCCAGTTCCCTCAGCCGCTCCTCATAAGACTTGTTCTCCAGACCCCTCACCAGCCTCGTTGCCCTTCTCTGGACACGCTCCAGCACCTCAATGTCCTTCTTGTAGTGAGGGGCCCAAAACTGAACACAGTATTCGAGGTGCGGCCTCACCAGTGCCGAGTAGAGGGGCACAATCACTTCCCTACTCCTGCTGGCCACGCTATTTCTGATACAGGCCAGGATGCCATTTGCCTTCTTGGCCGCCTGGGCACACTGCCAGCTCATGTTCAGCCGGCTGTCGACCAACACCCCCAGGTCCTTCTCTGCTGGGCAGCTTTCCAGCCACTCTTCCCCAAGCCTGTAGCGCTGCATGGGGTTGTTGTGGCCAAAGTGCAGGAGCCGGCACTTGTCCTTGTTGAACCTCATACAGTTGAAGTCTTGTTCTTCATCTGATAAGAGTTCTTGTCATGAAATAAGAAAAGTCTATTAATATGTTTAAAAATGTCTGTTAAACAACTCTTTTCTGCATAAATAACTTCCAGATATTTTAATGTAATTAAATGTCTTTGTCTTACAGTTCTGATCTGCTTTCTTAAGTGACCTGTGCTGTGTGGCTGGAGTGAACTTTCAATAATGAGTGGTGCAGCGTTGGGCCTTGAGATAGTATTTGTCTTTTTTCTGGCCTTATTCCTGCTTCATCGGTATGGAGACTTCAAGAAACAGCATAGGCTGGTGATCATAGCAACACTATTGGCTTGGTATCTTTGCTTTCTTATTGTATTTATACTGCCTCTGGATGTCAGTACGGTAAGAAACTTATGAGATTTTCTGCTTAGTTGCATAAAATGTGTATGGTATTTTTTTTTAATCATAATTTCAGAAGACAATATCTTAAACAGCAAATAAATTTTCCAAATAGTATCTTATTAAATTAAACACTTGTTACCTTTTTGCATGGCAGTGTCTGTGTTTACAATTAATTTTATTTTTTGTTGATCTTATCAGATAACAAATCTATTTCAGATGTTTTAAAATGTCATTATTTGTTTATAGCAATTATTTTATCTGTTTAGGCAACATAAAAACACTTTCAGTTTTTTACTTGCTTGTCCTGCAGATTGCATGTTGTTTTGAGGGTTTATTAGTATAATTGCTCCTAAATTTAAACCTGGACTACAGTAAATGTCTTTAAAAATGGGACTTATTATTTTTAAATAAATGTTGTACCTTTTTCTGGTCACTGATATAAAATTAATTGTCTTCTAGACTATTTATAATCGGTGCAAACTTGCTGTTAACTCCAGCCCTGCAGAAAGTAATGGCTCTTACGTTACTCTTGCTCCAAGGTATCAGCTATGTTTTCTTCGTCAGACTGTTTTTAAAGAAGTATTTTATGATTTTCTTGTTTTAAATAGTAGGAGTGTACTGTGGTTTTAAGACTAATAAACAAGTGTTATCTGTGTGATATGACATTTGAAGATTGTAAGTGTACAGGAAGGTGAGGGAAGAGGTGAAGAAAAGTGCCTCTGCATCTATTGGTAGTAATGTATACATTAGTTCTAACTGATTACCTAAATATTCCTCTTTTTTTTTTTTTTAATTTCATGCAAGACTTCTTTTATTTTGTTGTTAAAGCAACAGAACTAAGCTTTTCAAGCAACCTTGGTTATCTATGAGGAGAGAGGCCTTGGTGAATGCTTATCTTTCTTTCACAACCTTAAAGACTTTAGACCTGAAAATCTAATTTTATACCTTATGAATGAAATTAGTAGGCTTGTCTTATATATAAGCAGCATATCTAATTGCTTATTATAATTGCATATATATAGTAATTGGAGTTATCTGAAATTTACTATATTCTACCAAAGTAACGATAGCCTGCTCGCTGTCTTCTGGTAGGAAGGAAGTAATCCCTAAAACATGGGGAAATGTAGGCGAATGTGGGCTCTTTCCATGGCTGCTCATTCTTTAGCCTCCATTGGCTATTTCCACATCTTGTGGATGTGTGCAGCCTAGTTATCTGTAAGATGATTAGAGCATTTAAGATGTCAGTTGATATGTCCATGGAACGTCTTGCCAGTTTTGTTGCCCCAAAGCGGACGCTATCTGGATGTTGTATATCCGTGGAAGAACAGTAAAATGCCAGACTTAGTGGCACAACATTTTACCCTTTGTTTAAAATCACCCAGCGTATGTTAATTAAACATAGTTAGGTAAATACACAATTTGAAAACTATTCAATAGCCTTTCAATTTACCTATAGTTTCAGAACAAGCTGATGGATGTTATGCTGTAGTATATGACGAGTACATCAAATAGAAATATCGACTTAAGTAGTAATTGAGCAGATACTGTGTTGGTGCAAGTCAGATCTTAAAACTTTGTTTGAAACCTTTAGTCACGCTACCTGTCATTCTATGGTAATTTGATAGTTTTGAAAATTTTTAGGCTGTGTACGTCAAAACTCACAACTCAGGCTTGACTAGTTTGACCCTGGAAAACACCAATTATTTCTCAATAGATACTCCTATTAAATTGTCTGTATTGCCCCTTGAGTCACCATTGCTTCATTACCCAGACAGGTGTGGGAAAAAAACCGAAGTGTCTTAGTGTGGATGGGCACTTTGCCTTTTGCTCTTTTTTTACTAAAAGGCTCTCATGGCTTTTCTGGTCGTCTGAAGCAAACACTACCTGTCAGAAAAGTATTGGCTCAACAAGTCAAAATTTATATAAGCTTGACTAAATCCATCTGGGTGACGGAAGAAACAACTAACACGCTTTTTTTTACCGCTAAATGCTCTAGGTAGTAGAGCTAGGTGATGGGGTCCCTGGATATTTTTTAAAAACCTGCTGCACTAACTAAAGTTGAATGGTCTTCTGTGTATAGAAATGTTTTTTTCTTTGCATGAAGAAAGTACGTCCTGCCCAAAAAGAAAAATTGTAACCTTAAATTGCTTAATTGCTTATTCCTCTTTAGTCTTTGAGCTACTGTTTTTTTTCTCTAAGAAAGCTGTCTTGTCTAGATAAGTTATTTGCGGTGAGGAGAATGATAAATATTTTTAAGTATTGATTCAGTTTATTTTCTTCTGAGATGGTTGATGTTTGACTACTTACTCAAATAGTAGTCTGTTACTTCTATGCTATTTTCAAAGACCTTTCTAGATAGGGGAATTTATAGAAAATGTTCCTTACACTCTTGGCCCTACAACTAACAATAAGCTTCTTTACATTGTTACAGCAAGCAAAAATGTTTCAAACCATGGAGTTATATTCCTAATGGAATTATGCCAATTTTCTGGCGTGTTGTATATTGGACGTCGCAGTTTTTAACATGGTAAGTAAGGCAAAAGAATATGACAAAGATTATGATATAGGTATAATTTCTAAGTGCAGTGTATTAACAGTCATACCATACTCTTTAAGACTATATATCACTATTCCACAGAGCTATCTAATCATATATTATTTGCTAGCAGTGAAATTTCTCTAATAATTACTGTACTAAATTGAGCTTTTTTTTTTTCTGCTCCTTTTCAGGTGGCAGCTATTTACTCTTGGTTCACTTTTCTAGTTGAAACTGAGCAGTTTACACATAGAGGTGTTAATGGATAGATTGAAAAAAATGGGTTTTAGGCAACAGGACACCAAAATAATTCCATGAATAAGTTGGGTAATTTTTGAGTTATATTGTAAATTATTTGGTTTTATTGGATATATTATATAAAGCTATAATATAGCTACAGCAAACAGATTGTGCTTTTGGGTTAGATTCATGTGTGGTTTCTGACCAATCTATCATCAAATAATTATTTTTGTAGCTCAGTCAAGAATATCAGAGTTGGTAGTGAGTACTTGATTAACACAGATTTTTCATAGTAAATCTAACTGTATTGTTTTTGTCTGCAGCTTGTTTAAGGTTTGCCATCAGACCAGTACATCTAGAATAAAAACATGTAACTAGCTAATTTTGTTAGACGCTTGGGAGTCTTTAGCTTAAACACCCTGTCTCAGTATCCTGCCACTGCTAAACTACTCTTTTGTTTGTTTGTTTTTTGTTTTGTTGGCTAATGTGGTTTGGTTTTGTTTTCTTCCCTTCTAGGATTCTGCTACCTTTCATGCAGTCATATGCTAGATCAGGAGGGTTCTCCATTACTGGAAAGATTAAAACTGCATTAATTGAGAATGCAATCTATTATGGCACTTACTTGCTGATTTTTGGAGCATTTTTAATATATGTGGCTGTAAACCCAAACTTCAATTTACAGTGGTAAGAATAATGCTGTAAGCACTTGCATGAGTTCTTATGAAATTGTCACGGGTAATCTCTTCTGTAGATGAAATGGGTCTTTTTTAAAAAACAATTTTAGTTGATCTGATTTTTGCTAGGCAGTTGGAAAGTTTTGTTAACTTTTTTTATGGAAAAGGATTCTTTGACTGTTCATAGAAATTTGTCTTTTGGATTTCTGATTTTGATACGTACGGCAGAGGAATCCTCTTATATTTGCAATGTTTTTTTTTTCTCCCTACAAATGCATTTGCAAAGTAGTGCAGAAACTTTCTCAGTGTTTTCAGAATAACATCTTTCAAAAAGTCTATGTCAGTATTTCCTGTGTAGTGCTTCTGTCTACTGTAGATTCTATTTGAAGTCCATAAGGTAAGTTAAAATAATTGGTAGTTACAACATTGCTAATGGTCTTGCATACTAGATACAGTAGTAAACACTGTCATGTGCTTCACTTGCAATAGGTTTGCTAAGCTCATGTTGTTTCCTAAAGGAACATACTCCTTTGAGAACAAACATTTTTGTCTTCCCTCCAGAGAGGGAAGAAGCATGGGGAGATACAGAAAAATCGTGGCAGCTTTAAATATGGCCAAGTAGCAGACTGGCCCTAGGCAAGAATTACAGATGATGCTAAGTCTGTTCCTGTAAATTTGAAGCCATATTGGTGCATAGATACTTCAAGGTTGCTTTCTTGTGGGTCAGGCAGGAGGATGTTGGTTGTTTGCTTTTTCTTTTTTGTTATTGCTATTGGTTTTTTCCTTAGGAACCAACTTCAGACTATTGGGATAGCTGCTGCAAACACATGGGGTCTCTTTCTTCTTGTGTTGCTTTTGGGTTATGGTTTGGTGGAAATTCCCCGTTCTCACTGGAATGGGGCCAAGAGGGGTTATCTACTCATGAAGACCTATTTCAAAGCTGCCAAACTGATGACTGAAAAAGCAGATGCAGAGGAGAATTTAGAGGATATTATGGAAGTAAGTAACTAGCTTTCGCTATGAAGTAAGTGAAGGCTGCTGTTAATCACCTCTGAATTTCTTGGTGTTGGGCACTTGTGGCAAGAAAACATAAGTAGCGTGAACTTACTGTGAAATATTAGTAAATTAAGAAAATCATCATAGTGTGCCACTTGATGACACTCAGTCCTGTGTAAAAATCAAAAGAGAAATAGTCCCTAATGTGAAGAACTTGGCAACTTGATAGCCATGGCAACTTCATAGCCATTATTTGTTGGTTTTATTTTTGTATTGACCCTTTTGGATTAATATTGGTCGCTAATGAAAAACATTCCAGAGTGAACTTGAAAATACAGTGTACAGATGTTTCACTATCGTTCATGCAAATTGTGTATGTCTGCTTTTATGCTCTGCTCCCAGTATATTTCTGGAATCTTGGGAAGAGTTTCCAAGTTGGATTTGCAGGACCATGCTATGTGCCTTTTGAGAAGACAATATCTAGATTATTGTTTTTTTCAAAGAGCTTTTTTTGAGACTGTATTTATTGTTATTTGTGAGTGAGCAATAGACTCTAGTGTAGTTCAAGAACAGAATGGAAATGCAACCCATTGAATAGCTATTCCCTGTTTTGCTGCTCTGATACCATGGCTTGGAAATAATACTTCTGAAGAGTTGTAAGGTAGGGTGAACTTCTTCTGTGATACGTCAACATAAAATAATGGTGGAATTCTCATTCTTCAGTAATAGCATTTTGAAGAAATTGCTAAAAACATCTGAGTGGGGCATAACTACAAAACTTACTAGAAAATGAGCAACAAAAACTTTGTTTACCAGGCTAGCACTTAGAATAGAACAGAATAGAACAGAATAAAAGTTAAAGCATATTGTTAAGAGCGTTGTCCAGATGCCTGGAGAGGGAGGTGCTGAGCTCTTCTCCCTGGTATCCAGTGACAGGATGCATGGGAATGGTTCAAAGCTGTGCCAGGGGAGGTTTAGACTGGACATTCGGAAGCATTTCTTTACCGAGAGGGTGGTCAAACACTGGAACAGGCTTCCTAGAGAGGTGGTCGATGCCCCAAGCCTGTCAGTGCTTAAGAGGCATTTGGACAATGCCCTTAATAACATGCTTTAACTTTTGGTCAGCCCTGAATTGGTCAGGCAGTTGGACTAGATGATTGTTGTAGGTCCCTTCCAACGCAAAATGTTCTGTTCTATTGTGTTCCCTTAAACACAGCATACCTTGTGCCTCAAAGGCTCTTCCATGGTTTAAAACCCCAAAGTTTTGTCGGAGGCACCAGTTCTGGAGCCAGGTACTGGTATCCTGGGCTCGCCTGTTTCTTCCAGTCTCCCCCCATTACTAGGAGGATTGAGGAAAACACTACCTGTGCTCCTGAATTTTTTAGCATTCTTCCCAGGGTGCTGAAATCTCTTAATTGACCTCAGACTTTTTGTTGTGTCATCATTAGTACCCACATGACAGAGCAGGAACGGGTAGTAGTCTGAAGGTTGCACTAAGCTTTTCAGTCTTGTGGTGATGTCCCTAATTTGGGCCCAGGGAGGCGGCAAACTTCCCTGAAAAGAGGGTCTTGTACTAGACTGCTGTCTTGTACTAGATTGTCCTTTAAGTCAGGTAGGGTGACTGACAGATTCTGAGGTTATGTCATGCACAACATAAAATATATTATATTGTTAATGCATGATAAAATCTTGTTTCAAGGTTTGGCACTTCACTTCCCCCCCCCCTTTTTTTTTTTCTTTCAGTCTAGAAACAATTGCACTATACCTTAGGAATCTTGGGCTTTTATTGGTATTTTATTTTCAACCTTCACAGGAACGCTGAAGTGTGTGAAAATACATAAAGATTCTTAAGAATGGCAGTGCTGACTCTGAGAACTTGATTGTAAATATTATGAATTGCTGTTGTTATTTGACATAAATCACAAAATTTTAGCTCTCAGCCACTTCAGTTTAGGCTTTTGTTTTCTTCCTTTATCAGAGATTTTGAAAACACAAGAAACTGTAGCACTGGAGGATACTTCCCACTTTTGTATTTTTAATTTTTTTCCAGTCCAGTGCTCTACTTGACAGGGCTGAACATGTTAGGATTGACCCTTACAGATATTCTTGTGGGATTTTGTTTGTTTGTTTGTTTTTCATAATCCCACTACATAACGAAAAATTCTTTGCCGCAGACTAATCAGATCTCTTGTGATCATTCCCTCAGGAGATTCAGAGGGTATCCAGAATTACTGAGAGTCATCTGTTAGAACAGCCTTTTATATGTCAAAGGACTGTCTATATCCATTTAGCCTTCCTTGTCACGCTAAACAGATACAATTCTTCTGTCTGCTAATCATCCTATTTGACAAGATTTCTAAGCCTTTACAATTATTTCTGTCCTCCAGACTCTAGAACTTGCATCTTTTTTTTAAAGTGCTGTTTGTAACAACAACAAAAAAGCATCAAAAGGTTATCTCTGGATTGCCAATAGGATGAAGAATAAAAGCTAGTTCTCACTAAGCCTGATAAACTGCTAGAGCCAGTTCTGACACAACTTATCTAGCTGTTAGGTAGCATCTTTTTATTACTGATAAATGCAAATGGTCTCAGAAGTGAGCTATGTGGAGATAAATGCGAGGAAGATATAAAATGATATTCATCAAGCTGCTTAAAGTAATAAAAGTAAAGCTAAACCAGGTAAGATAGAAACTCCTCCTCTTTACCTACAACTAAAACAAGAAAGTATTTTCCATTTCAAAATTCATGCATAGAAACCAATCCTCCACACATTCACAGAGTAATGTTTGCACACTGGCATCGTGGGTTGTTTTTTTTTTTTTTGAAAATACATACGGGTTCTTTATAAATACTTCTTCAATTATCTTTTATTAAATGTCTAGTAAAGCTGTGGCTTTTAGGAAATTCTGTTGTTTTTAAGCTCTGATGGTTATCTTTTCCATTGGGAGGGCTGGAACTCTTATCTGACCCTGTAAAATTATTTAATCTATTTAACATGATGAAACAACTCTTTCTTTTTTTTCCCTCCACAGGAAGTCCGTAAAGTAAGTGAGAGTATCAAGTATAACCACCCTTTGAGAAAATGTGTTGATACAATACTGAAAAAGGTAACAAATTGCTCATCTTTAGCCATAATTGTTCAATTGGGAGGGCATGCTTCCTGCACCTATTGAATACTTGTACATTATTTTCTTTTCCCCGTAACATAAAATCTCTAATTGGCATCTTGTGAGTTTCTGACAAGACTTGGAGTTGAAATTCTTTGTGGAATGCTTTCTTATGATGTATGTAATTATCTGCTGTATTTTGACATATGTAGTATTTTAGAAACAGAAAAATCTATACTTAAAGTGAGCTGTTCAGTTGCATGAAATGCCCCAAACGTTTACGAATAATTAACAAAGAGCACTTCCTACTCCTTTGTCTTCCAGTTAATTTTCCCTTTTCCTTCCAGTGTCCTACTGAGTACCAGGAAAGAATGGGTAGGAACATGGACGATTATGAAGATTTTGATGAAAGACAGAACAGTTATCCAAGTGAAAAAAGTTTGGTCAAACTTCACAAGCAGGTATATTAATAAATGAGAGAATGCCTCACTTACACTAAAGTAATGAGAATAAATGCCAGTCAAACAAAGATTTTCAATGTACTTTACCTGTATTGCTGAGTATAGTGGGGTTTGGGATTGCTACTTAATGGGAACTTTTCTCAGTGAAAGAAAACAGAAGTTTAATATCCCAATATCTCATTTCTTGAAGCAAGTATGTTGTAACCATAATTTCTTGGAATTTATTATAGGTAATCTATTCAGTACAGAGACATCGTCGTACACAGGTCCAGTGGCAAATTCTTTTAGAACAAGCATTTTACCTAGAAGATGTGGCAAAAAATGAAACCAGTGCAACTCGACAGTTTGTTCATACTTTTCATTCCCAGGAACCAGAGAATAAAATTATTCGGTATTTCTACACACCAACTGTTGGTAAGTGCTGTCATGCAGATTTTGAATATGTAAAGGAATAACTAGTACAGTTTTGTAAGAAGAACCGATTGTTTTATGAAAAAGATGAGTTACAGTAGAGGGAATCAAATGTGCATCTTAATGCATTTATGTAATGGAATAGCCATCGGGTATTGATTTATGTTCTTGACCATAAGCTTGAATTTTTTTACGAATTTGATAGCAGTTACATATTGTAATAGCAATAGCAAACTTTGAAGCCTTAGAAGAAGAAAGAAAAATAGCAACTTCAAATTTTTGGATCGTGGCTACCTTCTACATTTGTGGGATATTATTGAGGTGGCACCGTTCTTGCAGTAAAGCAAAGAGGAAAGGACTCTTCGTCTGTCATGTACTAAACATTAGGACATGCGGCTGCTTGTGCATCTTTTTAGAAAGTGTCTTCTCCTAATCATGTTTTAACTGATTTGTTAAATCACTAGCAGTGAGTTCTTTCCAGGGTAGGACAATATAATTTTACAGCCTAAGCTTTCTTTCTGAGAGAGTAACAGATGAACAAACAAAAAGTGGATCACCCATAGTATCTGGGCCAAAAGTGAAGAGTTCTTTTCTACACCCTCCGCCCCCCCATCCATTTGCAAAATTTGCCTCCCAAATCCCACCCTGTTTTCCCCAGTTGTGCATATGATTCCTTAGGGCTGAGCCAGATCTCTAAGCATTGGAAAAGCCCTGAAATTAAGTGTGTGAACCCACAGACTCCAGCCTTGATTTTTAAGGGCATGTGTGGAAGAAGTTCACAACAGTTTTTGTGAGGGAGTTCCATTTCTGGTTGTGTAATTTTCATTAACTGATTCTGGATGTGTGTGTGTTTGTTTTTTTGCAGAGTGGTACTGGGAATGTCTTCTACGACCATGGTTTTACAGGGTGCTTGCAGTTGTTCTGGCCACGTTCTCTGTAATTGTTGTGTGGTCGGAGTGCACGTTTTTCAGCACAAAACCAGTTTTATCACTATTTGCAGTTTTCATACAGCTGGCAGAAAAGACATATAATTATATATACATAGAGGTAAGTTTGAGATAATCGCTCAACAAAAATCTTTTCAGATAGATTGTTATTACAATAATAGTAGACCAGATTGATTTAAAAATAAGTCTCTAAAGAGTCTCTCAACTTTCAGAATGTCTCTAAAATATATAATGCCAAACTTTGTTTCTGTGGAGGGATTCTGCGTTTTGCCATTTCTTGTAACTCTCCAATACGGGGTGAAGGTGTGACCCAGTTGAGCTCAATATAATGTGTAGAGTAATTTGTGAAACATTAGCTTATGTGTTTAGACTTCGTGTCTAATCAACCATGTGTGTAACCTCTCTTCCCTAAACAGGAATTTGCTGCTGGTCAGAAATCCAGTCACAGGTGTGGCTAGCATATGTGTGCACAAATTCATCAGTAAAGGAACTGAGCTGAAAAATTCCAGTATACTAACAAAATAGGTTGAATTGCAAATGCTTGTTTTTATCACTTTTTGTGGGAATAAATGTTCATAGGGTCAGTTGTGTTAGCTTATATGAAGTGCAGAATGTTGCAAGTATCATTCTCGATGTAAATTAGTCAAAAAAACTCCTGAAACTCTTCTCAGAGCTGGTGTTATTGTCCCATCTCAAAATGAAAAATTAGACTGCAGTCAGCCTGTTGCATGCACAGACTATGTGCTGAATGCATTAAAACCTTTAGTAGAGTTCTACACTGAAACTTTTTTTTTCCCCCCAGATGGCCTGTTTTCTTACCATCTTTTTCCTAAGTATCTGTGTTTACTCTACTGTCTTCAGGATCCGTGTATTCAACTATTATTACTTAGCTTCACATCATCAGACAGATGCATACAGTCTCCTTTTCAGTGGCATGTGAGTATGTGGCACATATTTTGTGGATTTTCTGTCAAATTCTCAATTGAAAATGTCCATGAAACTTTCATTTTTATTCTTTCATTTATAATCATGTGGGTATAAATCCTAATGAGCTGTACATCATGATTCTGTGATATATCCAGTTATGATTACTTAATATTTTTAGTGCAAGAAATTGTTTTAAATGGTGTTGTCTTTTGCATTTGTGCAGGTTATTTTGCCGTCTTACTCCACCATTATGCTTGAACTTTTTGGGCTTGACCCATATGGATGCAACAATCTCTCACAAAAACACTCAGCCAACTGCTTATACGTCTGTGAGTACAGAAAATGTGATTTTTGAGGCTTCTATATGATTTGGAGAATAGGCAAAATATTTTTAGATACTTCTTATAGTAAGATTCAGATACTCAAATCTTTTCACTGGTATTGAACATGGTAGAAATACTTTACTTATAGACCAGGAGTTCGGTAATGATTGCTGGCTACACAGGAGTCATCAATAGCTCAATTTTTCAGTTTTGGTCTCTTTATCCTAAGAAAGTAAAATATCGTGCTGAAGAGTTCAGACTATTCTTCACGTCCTAATAGCTTTAGCTTCCACTGGCTTTAGCATATAGGACACCTTTACAGATTGGGAACAAACCTAACTTGCCAATGAAAACCAGTGAGTTCGGTTTTACTGAACAACCATTTTCTGTAGGACAGCGAGTTACATAGAATCATAGAATCATTGAGGTTGGAAAAGACCTCCAAGATCATCGAGTCCAACCATCAACCCAACACCACCATGCCCACTAAACCATGTCCCTAAGTGCCTCATCTACACGTCTTTTAAATACCTCCAGGGATGGGGACTCAACCACTTCCC